GACAAAGTACTGAGTTGCTGAAGTGCTGAAGTTCTGCATATCCCACAGAACTTTGATTTATTTTGTGTGTTTTGTCCCTTCCTGTTGGAAAGGATGGCTGGCTGTCCTTATTGTCCTTAATGGGCTGATGAACAGTAAAGAGTGTGAAGTAGCTTGACAGAAAATACCCATCTAAGTTGTTAGAACTGATCACCTTGCCTGTTTCCATACCCTCATTTAGCCTTAAGCATATTTGACTATACTTTTTGTTGTTGAACTCTCCCTCTTACATCTGAAAGCAAAAATAAATGAAGAAAGTATGCAGGAAAACTTAAATAGCAAAGAATAAGACCTTGCTGTCACAGGATGGTTGATGCTTAATCACAGCTTCGGCTGTTAAAAATCCCACCGAGACTGACTGACTTACGGAGAGGTGATTATAAAAGCCAACAAGTTGTTTAATTAGAATGGAGAGTTATGAAAAGTAGTTTAGCTTTTCTGGGAAGTACCACAGCAAATGACTTGCCAAGTGGTGATGGGCTGAGAAAAGCTTTGAAGGTAGCACTGGTTGCTCAGTTTGCTGCATTGGCATTTAGGAGGACTAAAGCTGGTAAGTGCTGAAATCGGGCCTGAAACTGGTTCATCTGAGGCCTTCCTGGCCTGAGATTATACTTGGCATTAAATAATATTTACTACTCAGGAATTTTAGAACACTTTGTTATGTTCTGAGGCCTCTCAGCTTGTTGCAGTGATTGTTGCCATGAAGGGCTTTGAAAGAGAATGGGAAAAGCAACCTCAGCTCTTCCCAGCCAATGTTACAGTTTGCTCCCAGTGAGGAGAAATATCATATATTATACCATGAACTCCACCAGATTTACTGTCATAACAGAGGAAACACAACCACCCAATACTTTCATGTGCCTTTTCAATGAGAGCAATCATTTTATCGAATAATCATTCATGTTTCAAGCTCTCTCTCCTACTTGAAAAAATAAATTGATAAGAAGGAGCTAAGCATTATACCCAAAACAGGCTGACTTCTCCTAGGCAGTGACCCTGGAATGGTTTTATCAAATCTGGGCCCTTCTTGATAATGGAAGCAGAGTTTTCCCCAGAGTGAACCAGTGTCAGAGCAAAAAATGAGGAGAAAAGGCACAGTATTTGAAAATACAGCCCAAGAACAAAATAAGGCAAATTTTAACTAGTTAAATAATAGAATAGAGAAATATTACAAATGATGTCAAAGGTTGATCAAGCAGTCCTCAGATAGGAAAAACAATGAGCTTAACTGCCTCTAATACTGCAAAATCATCAAAATAATCAAGAACAAGCAAGTGGGTCATTCTGGCTCAGGCACTTGCATACTGCAGAATTACTTGGCTGTTCTTTCTACTATTTCATCCCCATTTAACCTGCTCAGGCTAGTTGTCATTTTGAAATGTGCAAAATACATTAAATTTTAACTACATAATTTAAAAATACACGTATTTGTGCAGATTTTTCAAAGTGACGAGGTTCTGAATGTATAGGGCAACAGAACATGACTCAAAGCCCAATTTAAAGTAAGAAGTGTTTTGAGCAGGCATCAACATTTAGACTGAAAAGCAAGGCAAAAGCATAGGTTTTTTTATAGATGTTGAGTGGACTAAATGCAATGTGAATTTATCTACAAACCATCTGTGATTTCTGGTATTTTTTTGATGCCTTCACAGCTCTAATTTTAAGCAGTTATGTAGCCTTTAAATAATGATACTTTCTTCCTATTCGGATTTACATCAGACTCCACGCTAGATCTCTGAGTCTTTAAAGAAAAGAAGTACAGCTGAGTACAGAGAAACAGCAGAGTAGGTTTCTCTGCAGAGAGCACACATACAGAAGAAAACAGCAGCCTTTTCTTTTTGCAAGTAAAATTTGACATATTTTGGGATGGAATACTGCATGCATAAAATAACACCATGAGTTTTGCTGGGTACAGTTTACTTTTTGTATTTTGCTTTACACTTTTCATGTAAATTCAGTGCCAGGATAAGGTGTTAAGCTGACTTCCCCAGAGGCTGAAACTCCAGAAGCAGCAAAGCGTAACGGCAGATCTCTCTGAATTGTCTTAAAACTGACATCAAGGGTGCCAGCTCCACAAGACAAGAGGGAATTCGAGAGTCATAACCTATCCAGGCCTTAGTGCTTCTGCAGACAAATCTGTTACATGCTGGATTTTTTTCTGTGTGTGTGTGTATGATGTGGATGCTTCATAACTGTATTAACAAACAGAAAAGCAAAAAAACCCAGAAACTCCTCTATATAAGCAACCGAATAGCCATCTAAAAATTGTAGTTCTTGCTGTGAGTGGCCCCTAAGCAGACTGGAACATCTCCAGACATTTCTCTGTGCGCTGTGCTTGGGGGAACACTGTTTCTAATGGAAGCCAATTCTCCTGAGAGCCTAAAACAACACTAGGCCAGTGCCATTCATCCTGCAGGAAACCTGATAACTATTTCAGATAGCTATACCGTGATCAGTTTGGTTTGTTATATTACTCTTTCTATCAGAAAGGTTCTGATAAGATCCTTGTCTGCTATTCCTGGCCATAGAGGGAGGTTATGATTTGGAAAATAACATGAAGAGAAAGCACTGATGATCCAGGCTCTTCCCACCTGGAAACATCTTGCTATTCCAACCCTGTCTGAAAGGAGGCAGCATCCATTCCCTTCCCATTGGGAGGATCTTCTCCTCTCCTTCCATAATGCATTGTGGAGGCAACTCTGTGATGAGCTGACTCGAAACTTGGAAAAGTATTAAGAATATAGAAATGGCAAGAATATTTTACCGAATTACATTGTTCAGCCTTGCAATAATTTGAACCGAAACAAAAATTGGTTTATTGTATTTATTTGAACTGCTGTCAGGAATGCAGCAATGAAGTATGAAGACCTGCAGTGGCCCTGCTGATGAATGTCTGTCCAGCTTACCACAGAATAAATACCAACATTTCTCTGTTGCAGGAGAAGATAACAATTGGTTCTGAGCATGTCAGTTATTCCAAACAGTGGGTCTTCTCATTCCTTGGGAGATTCTGAGCATGTGGTAAGAAACCAAATAGTCAATATTAATTGCCTCTCCTGATGACAAAATTAATTTCTTTTTAATGAGAAAGCATTTCTAGTTAGATGCTTTCTTCCCTAACAAATTCCTGTTTACGGTACCTCTGGAAGGATTCTGAAAGCAATCCCTTCCCTTTGGTGTCACTGATTAATTACAGCCCGCTTGGTTCTTAATAGGTGCAGCCTGAGTGCTATCGCAGAACAAGCTCTGCTGTGAAAGGCTCCTCTCAGATCTGTGCTCCCCAGACAGGCTTCTGCTGCACCTCCCCGTCAGGCTGCATGTGCTGCCAGTTTGGATTGCTGCTTCCTTCCCCCCCTTCCTTCTCAAGTGACTTCAGAGCTACGAACGTTATGAGACTGACAGCACCCAAAATGAAATTCTCTCTTTAGCCGCAGAACGGATCCAGAACTGGCAGTTCACTGCAGCCTTCTCAATTCCCCCTCTTAGCCTGTCTACGTGGCACAGCGCAGCAGTGTGTGGGGCTAACGGGGCTAGTGGTAGCACAGCCGCGTTAGCAGAGCGGGCTGCCAGCGCTAATTAGCAGCGCTGAGAGGCAGGGCGCATTAGTGCGGTCAGGATGCTGAACCAACAGAGCAGGCTGCTCCCAGGACTGCAGCTGCTTTTTGCATAGCTCTACATGACACTGCATTATGCAATGTGGGTATAACACACATGCTTTAAAAGTTTTTTTTTTTCTTCCTTTTTTCCTTTTAGAGGGAGATCACTAGGTCCTTGAACCTCTGATGGAAGCAATAAAAATGTCAGTTCTGACGCTTGTTCAGATGTGGGTACAAGACCATGTTGGGCCACCCAAATCGTTTTGCAAGAGCCCACTCAACAGCTGTCGGATGGTAAGGATTTGGGGATGTTACAAACATCAGTCAGATTCTCGCTTTTATGTTCTTCTAGTGATTTTTCAGGCAAAAAGCTTTTTTTGTTTTTAATCAGCCCCTTGGAGACTCTACCTTAAATCCCTAACGCCAGTTTGTGGTATACTTGTAGTGGCTAAGGAAGATGAAATTAGGACACTGCCTTGGTTTGGGTAAGATGCCACTTGAGGAATATTACTTTTAGCTACTGAGGCTAGGAAACATCCTGCAAATGAGCACACCAGCTTATTCAGTCTTTTCCTCCTGTGTGAGAAAACAGGAGGAGAGGAGGAACCAGAGCTCCTGCTCTCCACTTTAGCTATTATCTTTAGCTGTTGGAGAAGTTCTTAAATCCTAACTATTCCTACCCTTAACTATTTCTCATTCTTCACCCCAGGCAACATGGCTTCACTCACTAACACCCTTGCACGTTCCCTCACAGGGTTTAATTGATCAGCACGAACTGCACTCACTGAATTTAATTAGTACCTTTATGAAAGAGGCTGTTATCCTGTTTTCTTAGCTTCCAAAATAAATATCTAGGCCATTTCTACAATTTTAATTCAGGTGCAGTGGCAATGGCCCAGGGTAGTGCTTTGTTTACCTTAGCTCTATTTATTTTAGCTGTGCTCTGAGAGAGGGGGAAAAGAGCTGCTAACTGCATCAAGAGCACAAGAAGCCTCTCAAACTGCACTAAAACCCTCAGGATGTGCCAACATTTCTGAACTTTGCTCATCTCGGCAACCGAGGCCGGATCCTTGTCCTGTCACCTCGAGCTACGAGCACCATTGAGCTAGGGGCTGTAATATAGTTCTAATATTACAAAGTTTAGTGCACGCTTTTGGCTTGGAGCAGTATTCTCCCTCTTAAAGCGAATGTGTCCCTTTTTTTTAATGGCTTCACGGCTGCCTCTAGGCCTCTCCCTCCCTGCCTCCCCGCTCCCGCCCAAGCGGCGCGGACTACATTTCCCAGGGTGCACTGCGCTCCCGGCGGCGCGGACTACATTTCCCAGCGCGCCCCGCGCGGGGAGGCCGGCCCCCGCGGGCACGGGCTAAGATGGCGGAGGGGGTGCTGAGCGCCGGGGTGAACCTGGAGGCCTTCTCGCAGGCCATCGCCGCCATCCAGGCGCTGCGCTCCAGCGTCACGCGCGTCTTCGACTGCCTCAAGGATGGCATGCGGAACAAGGAGACGCTGGAGGGCCGCGAGAAGGGCTTCGTGGCCGCCTTCCAGGAGAGCCTGCACTCCGTGAGCCGCGACCTGGGGTAAGCGCGGGGGCTCCGCGGCCTCCCCTCTTCGCCTTCCTCCTCCTTCTCCTCCTGGAGCCCTGGCCGGCGCGAGGAGCCGGCACGGGAGGGCGGCTGGGCCCAGGAGCACCC